TAACATAACAATTAGATTTTATTTTTTAGTTGAAAATAGGAATTATACATTCTAAATTGTGAATTTGTTGGTGACATATTATTTCTTATAAAATATAAACAAATAAATTTAATTTTTTCTATTTTAAGGTAATTTGAATTAAAATTACATACCAATTATTTGCTCAATAAAGGGACAAGTCCTGACTCAGGCTTCAAGTGGAAATTTTTATATTTCAGTCTAATTCTTCTAAATCCAAATCACAAAATTAGATTAAAAGATCCAAATATCTGAATAAGATTATGCTTTTTGATGTAATATCTAGCAAAAGTTGAACATTTAGAAAAGTAATTGGAAATAATAATTTTTAAGTAATCAAACTAATTTTTTAAAATCATTTGACAGTCGTTCTCCTCTTAAATTAATTCAGATCTGCTATAATGATTTTTTCAATATAATGGTTACAGATTTCTTTTAGATAAGCGTTGAAATAATATTTTCTACAAATTTATTTACAAAATTTTTATTTTTTTTCAATAAGTGTTTTTATAAAAAAGAATTTAATTTATAATATATTTTATGTTTTTAATATTGAATGGAAAATATGTTTAAATAAATATAGCATTTCTTAAACTAAATGAAAAATTAAATTAAAAATATTTGAAAATTTTTAAGGTTTTATTTTTGCATGTTTTATCAACTTAATAAATTTGTAAATTTTATTATTGACATGGGAATGAATAAGTTAATAATATGTTTTGTGAATAATGTAGTATTTATTTTTTTTAACAGGAATTCAAGTATTATAAAATTAATATATTGTTAAACAATTTTAGTAAAATTTACTCATAAGCATAAATTAATTTAATTGAGCTTTGTGATAGTATTTATTATTGTTTATATTAATTAATATTAATGTTGTATATTTTTGGAAGTTTACTCATATCTCATTTAGTCACTTGTGTTGTGCTCACATTTTATCAACTTAATGATTAGAGATTGATTAGTACTATACTGCTTAGCTTTCAGTTCTTGATGCTGGCTGTCCATTTTATATAAAAAATTAAATAAATTTAGAACGAAAAAATTTAGATAAGTGTGAAAGTGTGTATAAAAATTAGTTTATTATTAATAATTTTGTAAAGGAAACAAAATTTAGTTTAAAGTTTTCTAGCTGGTTCATATATGTAATATTTATTGAAAAAACAATCAATTTTTTTAAAATTGATAAATGCTTTAATATGTATGTTTTACTTCATTATGTGGGGAGAGACTAATGAAAATACAATAACTGGTACTTTGTTATCACTTTTTATGGTGTTAAATATTTGTATGAAATATTACATTTAAAATAAAAAAGAAAAAGAAAGCCTTGGAAACAATTTTACAGTTAAACTTCCATCTCCTGAATTAATAAAAAATTAAACTTCACCAAATTATTCAAGAAAAGTTAGCGGTCATGAATATTAATCTGAACCATCATAAGAACTTTAAATAAATGATTTTGGGTGTATGGATTAATATTAAAAAATATTCAATATGTTTCCAGATGGTATAATAATGGTTAACATGAAAAAGTAAGTAATTTTTATTAATAAACATTTAAAAAAGATGATGGGGGGAATGAATAAGAAAGCAGCTTTTTATAATCTTTTACAAATGAAAAATGTTTAATAATAAATTAATGAGTTAGAAAAAATCAATTCTTTGTTTTAAGAACAATAAATAGTTTTAAATGAATAAGAATTTGATAATAAAACTTATTTTAAGAAAAGCACTTTTGATGAATCTCGATTTGATGATTAATCAGAGTTAAAATCTTCTTATTCATTTTAATAATTTGAAACTGTTAAAAAATTACTTGATCATCTAATAGAGAATCGTCATGAAAAACATGGAGTTATCAAAATGTTATGTCAATTTCCTTAAAATGAAAAATCACTTTTCTAAATAAGTTTTAAAAAATTCGAAAACAAATAATCAGAATTTATTTTATTAATTGTAAGAGACATGACATCTATGAATCTTGTAACATTTCTTCAAAGAGTAATAGCAGATAAATCTAATTTCTTAAGTACAGTTGTACATGAATTTAGAACTCCACTTTAGTCGATAAAGTTGATGGTTTAATAAATATAACCTATGTGTAGTGAAGAAATGGTTTAGAAGTATTTATTGCCAATGCTAAGTTAATTAGATTGTTTTACTAATTTAATCTAAGATTTGTTGGATGTATCAGTATTAAATGTAGGTAAATTTAAATTAGATATACAATAATTAAATCTTCACCATTTAATAACAGAGACTTACAATATTATGGTTGTTTAAGCATATGCAAAGAATAATGATTTAGTGATAAATTTAAAAGGAATACCTGAAAAAATATGTTCAGATCCTTATAAAATAAGATAAATTTTAATAAATTTATTGGGTAATTCGGTAAAATTTACTTATAATGGTATTATAACAATATCTGGTAGAACTGTAAACAAATCCGTAGAATTAACAGTTTCTGATACCGGTTTAGGTATAACTGCTGCAAATTAAAATAAATTATTTACTGCATTTGGTAAACTTGATGATCCAACTAATTCTAATCCATAAGGAATCGGATTAGGATTGATGATAAGCAATGTTTTGGCTAGAAAGTTATCATATGATTAAAAAGGATTATCAGCAGTATCAGAGGGAGAAGGTAAAGGATCAAAGTTTTCGTTTTAAGTTTATGATCATTCATTTAATGAAGAAAAATAAAAATATTAGTAGGAATCAGTTGTTCGTTAATAAAGAGAATATTTTTAAGCTCCATTAAATCAAATAAAATAATGGGATAGTTTTAGAATGAGTGGATTAGAATTAAGTTAATATTCTAGATGTTAATGTCCTGAAATCTTAATAGTTGATGATCAACCTTTTATTTTATAAATGCTTAAGTTGTAACTTGAAACATAAGGTTATCGAGTAAATTTGGCATTTAGTGGATTTGAATGTATAAAGAAAATAGAGTAATTTTAACATGGGCCTAGTTGTGCTTGCAAAAATTACAAAATTGTGATTCTTGATATAGATTTACCAAACTTAAATGGGATTGAGACTTGTAAAAGGTTAATCAGTATGGGTTATAATGGAATTATATTGGGACATAGTGGATTTTCTGGAGGCAAGGAAGAAGAGGAATGTTTAAAAGCTGGTATGGTTGGATATTTTGTAAAACCTTTAGATATTGGAAAATTACAATAATGGTTAGAATAAAATAGAATTCTGATTTGATTATTTTTTTTGTATATTAATATGCTCACTAAAAATAAAAGGTCAAGAAAAATCATGAAAAATTAAAAAAAATGGAAATTTGTTCCAATTACTTATGATTTATCATAAATCAAAGGGAAGAGATCAAAAAAACCATATAAATTCTTGGTTTGCAATCTTTGGTCATTATTCACTCATCATAGCATTTCAGAATTATTAAATGATAAACCTTTAGATATTGTTGTTTCTACTTCTAATTCATTTACAGGCAACACTATATTCTAAGAGACCATGACATATAAAGAATTTTCAAATTATACAGGACCTCTAACATTGTATTTGGCATAAATCTAATTAGATTTACCTTGCCCTAAAATATTGAATGACTCAGGAAATGTATTTTTATGGTGTTCAAAAGGATTTACAGATAGTGGCTGGCATTATGATAGTTATGAAAATTATTTGGGTGTTGTAGAAGGTACTAAAATTGTTTACTTGAGAAATAATTGTTAAGATTGGTCTTAATTCGAATCAGTCTGTTCTGAACAATATAATCACTTGAAAAAAGGATAAAAAATGGTCTCTAAATTTGTTATACTCTAAAAAAATGAAATGCTTTACATTCCCTAAGGAATGTTGCATCGGTAATTTATTAAAATAATTTTTTAGGGTAATTTCTTATGATTAAACTATAGGTGTTAATGTTTGGATGGAAAGCATTGCCTAATCATAACTTAAAGTCAATCATTACTAATTGAGATATATATTAAATGAGATTATTAGCAAAGATATAAAAGAATTTTTGATTTAATAGGCTAGATCTAGACTCAAAAAAATTAAAATTGATTTATACAGGAATGATATTTTGAATTCCTTTTCTAACTTTTCCAATCTACATTCATCTCATAGAAATTTAATATAGAAACCACTTAATCAATTGATTGGAATTTATATTTGCATTTTGACAGGAATGTCTCATAAATATATGATATAATTTATGCTAATAATAGAAGAGATTGATTCAATTTCTATTTTCAAGAATCTACCTTATACTTATTAAGCCATAATTGCATTAAAATTGGACGAATTTTCAGAATCAATAGAAAAAATTGATTTCAGGGAAAAATTTTATGCATTACTCTAGTTTCATGAAGATCTCGTTGAAAGTTTATAAGCAAGTAAGAATAAATTAAAACGTTACATTGCATAAAGAATAATTTTCAATCATTTTAGAATTTGAATTAAATTATAAAACATTTATTTAATAAAGAGATTAATAATAAGTATAAGTTATTTAATTTGGATTTCTAAAATATAATTCATAAATACTGTTGAATATTTTAGATAGCAATTTATCAAAATAGAAACTTTTTGTTAAGGAAAACTAAGGTTTGATTGAATTTCTAAAAATTCTAAGAAAAATAATTAAGTATACATTTCAAAAAATTGGATTATTTTTAGAGTTATTTATAAATTACTTGATTTGTTCTTGATTAATATAGAAAATGGAGGTTCTACAATTAAAATTAGTTAATAGAACTTTTTCTTTCGTTTTTTATAAATTGTAAAGTTTCTTATAGATTTTCAACTTATGAAGATGTTGTTCTGACAATTTTTCAGGAATTCAACATGAATATTATATTAAGTTATATTTCCAATTTTATGATGACGATTTCATTTTAAGCGTGTGAAATACCATGTTAAGATTAAAGTTTGAATAATAATTTAGATGACAAAATTATTTAGTTTGATAATAATATTTTGAAGACAGTTATAATAACTGAATGTCTCAATAGCTTCTCTTTTAAATTAACATAAATGTTAAAATTAAATTTATGTTTGATTCTGGTGTTCCTGGATTGAAAGCAAAAAGAATTTAAGTTTTTATATGTTGCTTTATGCAATATGCAATGCTACATTCATGTAGATCAACCTGGAGTTTCACAAGTGGATTATTGGCAAAATCAGATGATCATGAACATGACGATGAAAAAATAGATGATTTTGATAAATAGTATTTGGGATACATAAACTTTTCATTTCTATTTGTATATGGATCATCAATGCTTTTGTATGATTACTTATTTACATAGCCTTGGTTAAATTGGAGATAGAATAGGTCCAAAACTATTTATGTTATGCGGAACATTTTCAACAGGAATCATATAATTTATGATAGCAGCATTGTTACCAGTAGAACGACATAATAGATGGTTATTGCTTGTACTTTAAATATTTAATGGTATATCATAAGCACCTGCATGGCCAGGTTTGATGGCTATAATGAATAATTGGCAGAGTAAACCAAATAAAGTGATAGTTATGGGTTATTTTGCAGCTTGCACAAATGTAGGGAATATCTTAGGAGACTTATTTGCTGCTTTATTAATAGAATAGCTAGGAATGAGTGTGATGGCGCCTATATATATATCAGCTATCGGAGTATTAATAATGTCTGTGATCAATATTTTTATGATTGAAGCTAGTTCAGCTAAAGAATATATAGCTTAATTTAAGAATCCAAATACTAAATCATTAGTTTATAAATAAGCTCATGATGAATATATTAGTAGAGCGGCATCAATAGTTTCTATCTCTGAATAATCATTTATGACTGACTTAAGTTAAACTCTTTTAACTGTCGATAGGGATTCTCAGATGAATCCATAAATCCAACCTAAACCAAAAAAGAAAAAGGAAAATAGTATAAATATGATTACAGCTTGGAAATTACCGAATGTTGCTTTATATGCTTTTGCATTTGGTTGTATTAAAGCTGTCTTCTATATACTTGCATTTTGGTTACCTTCTTATTTAAAAGGAGAAAACTTAGAAGGAGTTGCATGGATAACTTAAATGATTGAATGGGGTACTATTCCAGGAGGTATTTTAATTTGGTATTTATTAAATTATTATCATAGTTATGCAGGAGTTCATTGGAATTTAAGAGCAAGTTTAATTGTACCATCATTATGGGTTGGTACAGTAGTTATGGTCAGCATAAACTTTTTATCTAAGTTAGATTAACCATATGTTCTCTATTATATTTTAGTATTTTTGACAGGATTAATGATTGGTGGTGTTTATAATAATGTTTCAGGGGCTATTGTTATTGAATTAAGTAATATGAAAGAATTAAAAGGTTTTAATACATGATTTATAATTAATAGGAAATAAAAAATCTACTGCTACAGTTACTTCAGTTGTAATGGGATATGGAGCAGTATTTGCTGCCATTAATCAATTGATTGTACCATATTTAGAATCAATACTTTTTTTATATTGCAGTATTAATGCTATTGTTGCTGGCTGTTTTCTTATTCCCCTCATTATCAACGAATACAAAAGATATAAAGAATAGAAAACAAAAGTAGACGATGCAAAATGATATAAATTAAAATGTTAATTAAATTCAAAAGAATATTAGTATTCACATTAGCCTTCATTCAATATGTGTTTCTCCATAGTTGCAGATCTACGTGGAGTTATGTATCTGGAAGAATGTCATAACCTGGAATCGATAATTACTTTAGTAGTTAATATTTGGGATACATCAATTTTGCCTTTTTATTTAGTTATGGATTAACAGTTTCAGCGTTTTTATATAATCTAATATATAGGATAGGTTAATTAGGCGATAGAATGAATTTAAAATCATTTGTCTTAATTGGTGCATTCTCAACTAGCCTAATATTCTGTTGTATTGGATTCTTTCTGCATTATGAGTACAAACATCCTTATCTATTCATGGTATTGCAAATTCTTAATGGTGTTTCGCAATCGACTGAATGGTCTGGTCTCTTGGGTATTTTAGTATTCTATATTTTTATAATTATTTAGCGATCTTAAATAATTGGTATTAGGGATAAAATAAGATCTTAATTTTGGGTTATTTTTCAGCGTCCCCTTGTGTTGGAAACATTATTGGAGATCTCTATTCAGGTTCTTTGATCGGAAAACATGATTTGCCATACTATGCTCCTATTTATATGTCAGGAATTTCTTTATTCACTATTTCTATGATCAATCTATTTGCATTATAAGAATGTCCTCTACCTAATGAAATTGAAGAATTATGTGAACATTAAGAATCAATGTCAATCTCTTTAGAACCAATATTAAATATTTATAAAGAAAATAGTAGTGATTCTTAAGAATATTCATTACCAAGTTCACATTTCAATAAAGAATAAGAACAAGTATAATTATCTTATTTTGATGCTTGGTTTGTACCAAATGTTGCTATGTATGCTTTTGCTTTTGGATGCATAAAAGCTGTTTATTATATTCTTGGTTTTTGGTTGCCTGAATATTTAAATAGAAATAATGTACCTGATGTTGCTTGGATTACTGCTATGACTGATATTGGAGCAGCTCCAGGAGGAATCATCATTTGGTATCAATTATTAATACATAGTTTAATAGGATATTATTCTCATAAAAGAGCTATTCTTCAAGTACCAAGTTTATGGATAGGAACTATTGTTATGATCATTATCAATTATGCTGATGATTTAAGTCTCTTTGGTTATTTAATACTTGTATTCATTATTGGATTTCTTATTGGAGGAACCTACAATAATATTGCTGCCTTAATCACAGTTGAACTCAGCAATTAAGATCAATTGAAAAGTAGATTTCTTATCTTTATATTTTTAGATAATAAAAAAGCCACTGCTACTATTGTCTCTCTTATTATTGGATATGCATCTGCCTTTTCAGCAATTAATCAACTTATTGTTCCCCTTGTAAAAGATGCTTTATTTCTATATTGTGGTCTTATGTCTATTATTGGAGGTATTCTATTGTCCCCTTTATTGATCAAAGAAATTAGACATTAAAATTATTGAGACTTTTATATATATGCAGTAATATCTATCATTCTATCCTTCTAAATTTCTCTTAAGATCTCCCTCTTTAATCTAATGAACTCTATGTTCTTGTTTCTAAATTACATATCAATATATTTCTTACTTTAAGTAACATTATACTTATTTTATTCATCTGCTATATTTTTAAATGGAGAATCTACTCCAAAATAAGTCTTCAAATTTGTTCTATTACTCAAGGGAGCTGTTGTCTTTAAAAATAATAATTCCTCTTGCAAGGCTTTATTAGTTTATTGAAGATTCCCTATTTGAACTTGTAATTATGTTATCAATTACTTTTATTGCTAATTTTCATACTATAAATTTTAATATCCCTAATAATTCTCAGATTATTAAAATTATTTTATACTTTCATCTTTCTATTTTAATTGCTAACCACATAATTATAATTAATTATAATAATCAGTTAATTATTACTAAATTACTGACATATCCGAATGCAATTTCTCTTTTTCTAAATTTATATTTTGCTTCTCTTTTAATAATATTTATTTTTCTTTTGAATTTAAATCCCTTGTTTTAGATAATTCACTTTATAATCGAGCTTTATCTTTTTCGAGAATTTCTATTTTTTTTTATAGAGCATTAAGACATTTTCCTTGTGATTATGAGGTATTATGTGCTTTTTCTTTTAATAGCGATTCATATTTTTCAATTTCTTTCATATGTTCTTAGTTCTTCTAATTCAAAGTTTTTGTTAATTATTCTAATTAAACCAATCTATCTTCAAGTAATTTTGTTAACTTAATGTTACTTTCAGATAATTATTTAATTTTTTGATTTTCATTTATAATTTTAAGACCTGATTTTTCTAAATAATTCTCTTAATATCCTTACTTAAAGTCTAAAATTTAATTCTCTTTATTTTCAAACTTATTCTTCAACATATCATTCTCTTTTTATAATTAAGTAATTAAATTTGCTTGTTTTGTAATTTGATTTTAATATTAAGTAGTTTTAATTGAGAATTCTTATTTTAATGTGCTTAATCTAATATAAGTATTTTAAAGTTCTTCTTCTAGAGATTTAATTTATTGTTAATTGATCATTTCACTTGTAATTTCACAACTTTTTCTGCGTCCATTTTTAACTGTTTTTAAACCATTCTGAGACATTCTTTAAAAATCATTTTTAATGAGACTTAATTCTTTCATTAAGGATTCGTTTTACTTAAGAAGTTTCTCATTCTCACTCATGAGACCGACTACATGATTTGAATCTCTTCTTCCTTCTATGTTTTACTAAGACGATGTTCTCCTCATCTAACAGTTAATAAAATAATGAAAATTTTAATAATTTATGTGGCATCAATAGCGGTATTCTATTTCGTTGATAAATCATTGGATCTCTAATTTATTGAATCAGAAAAATTAAGCCGAAAATGTGAAACAAAATTAGATAATAATGAAACTACATAGATTTGTGGGCATATATGGGAATCTAATGAAACAATGGTTACTTTTTATTTTCGTACGGCAGAGCATACATCATAGAAATCTGATATAAGGATTTATTACTAATAAATACCTGCACAAGAAGCACTTAACATTACTGAATTAATTTAGATTGATACAAATATACTATTTCCTGATAATTTAGTTGGAATTGAGAAACATCATTTAAAAGCTTTATTTTATGAGTTTAAAACAAGAGATACAGATGGAAATGAAAATTATTTAATGACACCTGAATTAATGAAAGTTTCTACTTATGTTATATTTGTAAAGAATTATGACATAGAATTAGAAGCTTATTTTAAAAATAATTTAAAATATTTAGAAGACTCATTTGTCACATTCTTGTGTTTTGTCATTTTGGCATTGGCAATTAAAATGATTAATGAAGAAGAAGAAAATCTTTTACCATTAGGAAAATATATAAGAGAGAATTAACATCATATGCTCTTAATGATAATTCTAATAGCTTAACCACTTAGACCATTGTGTTATTTTCCAGAATTTGAAGCGATAGAATGGCTGATTGGATAAACTTGTTATGCAGTAGGGGAATTTTTATTCTTAAGATACTTCTTGTAAGTTCTTTCATTCTTGAAAGGTCATGATAATAATACAAATAAAATTAGAAATACGATAATTACAATATTTGTCATTATTCCAATTAGTATAGATAGATGGATGATAGCTTTTGAAAATCAATAATTTGTCATTAAAGATCTAGAAAATCAAGTTAATAATATTCATACAATAATGGTATTGTGTTGGATGTGCTTTTTAGTGTATGTGAGTATTTTTACTTATGAAGTAATGATTAGTTTTCATTAACATTTAATAAGTAAGTAAATAATGTATAAAATTTTTTAGGACTTGATTTATTTCTAATTGACATAATCTTTTTTATTGTCTATTCATTTTAGAAGAGTTAATTTTACTTGTATTATGAAAGATTTGATCATCATTTGTTTAATCCAATAAATATGTTGATGATGGTTTCTTACATAGCAATATTATTGGTAATTGATTTAAGAAAGCAGACTGAGAAAGAAAACGAATTATAGCCTGTTAAATAATAAGATGAAGAACATGGGGACAATCTTGAATTTACAATAGCTGAATATTATAGGGAGAAAGCCAATGATGATCAAACATTAATTTGAGTTCAAAATAAATATTTTATGTATATATTTAATTTAAAAAATTACTTGTGTTCTAACTTAATAATAAATAATATTAATTATGTTGTTTCTAAGCAAATTATAAAGATTTTGTCAAATACCAATATATGGTTGTAAATTTGTGCTGAAAAAAGATTGGAAGATCATAAAAGATAATACTAATTGGAAAATGTATATGGATGATCTAAATATCAATTCAGATACTTTGTATTAATCTAGTAGCAAAGATTTACTAAGAGCAGTCAGAGAAAATCCTGATAATGAATTTTACGCAAAAACAATAGGACAACTTCTATATCATATGGGAAAAGACGGTACATATGATGAAGCTGTCATTAAAAAGATAGAAAAATGTCTTTATAAATTTAAGGGGGAATTTCCTAAAAGATTAGCTTTTGGAGCTTTTTATGGATTTTTATCTCTTTCTATAGACAATCAATATTTGCATGATTTCTTTGATGCTGAATTTCGTATGCATCAAAGAAAAAGAAAAAATTGGTATGAAGCTATTGAATTGATAGAGGCTTGTGGAAAGAATAAAAATCTATCAAGAAAATATCTTCATGATTTTATGAGATCATAATGTCATAATTGTATTATTAGATAATACAGGAAACATCTAAAATATTAACCAGATTAATAATTAAGATTATTGAATGCTTGTATAAGTGCTAAATATTTTGAACCTGATATGTTTGATAATCTTGTAAAGGATATTGTTAAATAATAAAAAATATCTAGATTACCAGATTTAATTAAATTGTTAAACACCCTTACAAAATTATAAAATGAAGGAGATTTTCCAAGATCAATTTAAAAAGAAATAGATCATTTAATTAATAGAATAAAAACAACACCAAAATTTGCTTGGTTATATAATGTAGAGGAAAGACGTTATAGAACTATGGAAGAACTTAAAGCTGTAAGAGAAAATGCTCCTTAATAATTTATAGGACATCATCTTTATTAACCAGAAATGTTAGAATAATATTTGAAATCAAAAGCTTTAGGAAATAATGAAGCAGTTTAAAGAGAAAAAAGATTGATTTAAGAGAAATAATTAGATGATTTATTATATGATGAATTTATGCTTAATAAAGTTGAATAATAGAGGAATAAAGAATAATAATTAAAAGATAATAGAAAAGGTATGAAGGATGAAGATGGTCAAGATGAAGATGAAGAAATTGATAATGAATTAACTGAAGAAGAAAGAAAAGATTGTAATCAATTATATTTTTATTTTAGTACTTACTGATTTTTAAAAGAAACATTTTGAATCATTAGATATGGAAACTGTTAATCCAGATGATCTACCTCCAGAATGGTTTATGGATAATAATTAATCAAAGGACAATGATTTTGATGAAATGGATGAAAGAATTAAGTAAGCTGCTGAAGAAAAATCTCAATCTGCTAAAAATAAAGAAATTAAGAAAAGAAAGGGAAGAAGTGGTAAAGGAGATATTTTTGATGCTATAGAGTGAATTTTATCATATAAAATAAAATAAAATAACTAACTAATTATTTAAATTTTAATGAGTACAGCCAGATTCAAAAATACAGATTTTAGAATATAAGAGTTATAAAATGAAATAGATACTCTTATGACTCAACTCTAATCTAATTCAAAAAATATATCTTCATCTTAATCAGAACATTTATAAATGATCATCGAAGATTTGCATTCTACTAATTTTCAAACATAAGAACTATCTAAAGAATCAGAATAATTAACTGATGCATTATATTCTCAATCAGATCATGATGTAATATTAACATAAGCATAAATGAAAAAAATACAATCTTCCTTGAATCAGTCATTATCAATCACAAAATAAGTAACATTAATTTTAATATTTAGAATCTCTAAAATTTGGAAAGAGATATAGAATTAATTGAAAAGGCATTGTAAACTACTCAAGACTAAAACAAAATTTATAATGAAAGTTTGAATAAATTTAAAGAAAATCTCAAAATTTGTGATACCCAAGTTGTCAAAGTACTTGATCAAAATGCATACAATAATTGGAATAAAATTAAATAATTTTTTGACGTTGATGTTATTTTAACATCTGTACCTTTAGGATTACTTATGAAATTATAATTATACATACTAAAATTAACAGAAGTGTGTAATTCCAATTCAATTAAAGCTAAATAGCAAATTAATGAAGATTTAATAACCCTTTTAATTGAAATGAATTGCTAAAATTCACTTTTCTAAAATATTAATTTACTTGAGTAATACATTACAGCTGTGTTAAAATCCAATAATAAAATCAATCTATTTTTGTTTATTTAAAAATGCTTAAATTCAATGCATTTTAACTTTTGCTAATTAGCTTAAATCTTTAACCAGCATAATATATCTCATAAGATTTAACTTTAAATATAATAAGAAACTGCCACTAAGAATCAATCTTTAAAGTAATTTTAGTGCAAGAAATCCTCCTTAATGATAGAGATGGAAAAATACAAAAAATAAAGTAAAGAATTAATTACCTAACTTGCTTAATTAGATAAATAATTAGAAAAATAAATAGAGGGTGAAACATAACATCTTTTAAGTATGTACTTGAGAGATAAAGAATAAAGTATATCTGAAATAAAAAAAAAATATGGAAAAAAATATTTTGATAATATGCTTTCAGATGTTAAATAAGAATTTAAGAAAATCTGTCTAAATTAACAAGTTTAATATGCTAACAGTATTGAATAAGCTTTTTTAAGAGTTGATGTCATTAACTCTCAATTAATAAAAAACAAAACTAAAGCTCAATAATTAATTTAATAATATTCTTAATAAAAGTTTAAGAAATCTAGTATTTTAATTTTGTAGTTAAATGGAATAGATAAAAGGGAATATTTACTAGAATTGTAATAATGCAAAATAACACTTTTGCAAATTGAAAATAAAGTAGAAAGAAAGATCCTAATATAAGATTTAGATGATTTATTATTACAAATTTAATATCAAGTAAATGACATCAAATTAAGAATCTAAGCAAGTAATATTCCTTAAAAAATAAGGAGTGATTCAATAGACACATAAAGAAAGACTAATAGAAATATTGAACATCATAGATCATAATCATAAACTCCTATACAGTCACCTTAAGTAATTGTTCCTCAAATTACTTTATAACTTTTGAATATAAATTTGCCAATTAACAATCCTAGAGAGATATTTGATTCTAGTGAAGATCCAATCAAATCAAATAATAGTTAATTGTAATTGAGCTTCTGTGAAAATTAGAGTAACAAAAGCAATGATCAGGATAAGATGAGCAAAACAATTATAGTCTAATTTAATTCAACTAGTAGAATTACCTAATAATCAAATAATGTTGATAGTCTTACAAATTCAAGAAACGATGAGAATTAAAATAATTAAAACTAATAATAAAACTAAAATTAATCAAATCCCCCAAAAAAGCCACAATTAAAAGAAGTTAGAAATATAATGAATAATTCAGAATAAATATAAAATAGCTTAAAATCTAGTAGAATGAAAAAAGAATAAAAATAAAACAGTGAATGTATAAATAAACATAAGTTGAATATTTTAATTTATTTAAAAACAGAAGATTCAGAAATTGCATATGATCCTATTTTAAATTACGACCATGATCCATTTATTTTTGGATATAGATTATTTAGGATAGATAATTAATTAAATGTAAACTATTGTAATATTTTTTTAGGTCTATAAATCTTAAGAGGAAAAAATCAATTTAGAAAATTTTGATAATTTAGAAGAATTAATAAATCATTTTAATATTAAATATACTTAATTAGAGAATATTAAAGAAATAGAAATTGTAATTATAATTTAAATTTTATTAGAATAATTGTAGTATGACAGCAATAAAATTTCAGAATATATATGAATCAACCCTTAGACATGCTTGTGTGGATAGTTTAGCTCTAAGACATTTAAGAGTCCGTTTTTTTCCATTTGTTTTTGTAGGAAATCAGTAATCCCATTTTGGGTTGGCTGTCAATAAAGATGATTTATAATCTTTATAAAAGCTATTCTCTAAATAATGATACTGATATATATATCTCTAAAAATTTTATAATTATAAATTTATTGTTTTCTTAATAATTAAAAATAAAAAAATAAAACACAGTTATAAATAAAATCATTTATAATAATTTTTGTAAAGAAATTTAGGTGATAATTTGTTAGAAAAGGCTTCTTTAACTGATTTACCTAATTCAGGTGTTTTAGATTACTTTTTCAAAGCTCTCTCTTGTTTAATTTAAGAAAATTCTGAAATTAATTTATCAAGCATGGCTTAATTAGTTTCTTGTTTCATAGAAGCTCTACTTGGAGGAAGTTATTTTTTAAAGAATTTAGTAGCTAATATATTAGGACTTTATAATTATTCAGCAGGTTCAGTGCGTCTTTATTTAGAGTTAGAATTTTCCATCCATTCTTCAATAGATTCTTCAGTGATTTTAAAGGTTTGAGCAGTTTTTTTTTCAGAATTATCAAAACTTTTTACTTCCTTACTATTTGGTTGACTTTAATGTCTTTTTTCTTTTTCAGCACTTTTTGAAGTTTTTTATTCAGAACTTGATCTGGTGCTTTCATGATTTCTTTTTTTATTTTGATACTCTTTTTCAGTTAATTTACTAATTTCTTTTAAAAAGGAATCAAGAGAACTTATTTTGCCTTCATAATGAAGATAGCCAATTTTGTTATCTTGTATATCTTTAAGAAATTGTTGCAATTTGAATAATTTACTACTATATCCTCCCATAATTTGATTAAATGGCAGAGTACCCATTTATACAATTTTATCATAGTGATTTTTTATGTCACTAATATATGTAGCTAATTGGTGTTCAATTTATTTAGATTATACTTTTAATTGATTAGTAATCTGAACTCCAGACCAAAGAGATTACGATAAGGCACAAAGCAATTAGGATTTACACTTTCAAGAATAGATTATAGATATTACAATCTGTAATTGTTTTTCAATACTTCCAAAGGTCTTTACAACTTAAGTATATTAATCATTATAGAATTTTTTAAGGTTGGCTTCAGTTGATAATAAATTGGAATGAACATTGTCAATTTCGCTTTTTGTTGATAATAATTGTTCAATAAAAGTATCAGTTTGTTTCTTTTTTATATTGTCTAAAAGGTAAGAGTGCTAAGTACCTTCTTCTATATTTTCAATTTTATGTCCTTATTGAGCTAGTTGAACAGCGCATTTAGTGCATAATTTTTGATTTGGACCTGAATCATTGAGTAATAAGTATTTAGCCTATATATATAAATGAAAATGTACTTTTTTTTGAGGATGATGTGGACACATGCATTAGAGGGAATTACAATTGAATTCTTAACTCTCTTTAAATTTTTAGCTAAATAGATTAGTACTCTGATGAATAGGAGTGTCGATTCCATTCCAAAGTTATATAGAGGAGATATAAATCTAATCATCTCTTTTCATTTGAATTTTAATTAATAATTGTAATGTTAAATCATTTAGGTAAACTCTCTGGGTTTTCAGCAATGATGTACATCATAGAGCTAATGGTAAAAAATTGAAATCCAAATGATCAGGTTCTCTCAGATATTCATGGTATCTCCTATTGATTGGTAATATCTAAAGCAGTAACCATAATTAGGATCTTTGTAGATATTCTCAAAAAATAAAATCTAAATCCCCTCCAGGCTTAGTATCTACTCCAAAATTAAAGTAATTAGAAATGAGAGCCCTTCCTATTCATTAACAACAGATTGTTTGGAAGTACCATTCATTATTCATTGTCTAACAATTCTACTAATTTATAAATTGGCTGTAAAACCAAACCAAATAGTTTTCACATATCCAACATCATTTTTAGAAGCGATACATATTCTTCGTAATTATGATATATGAAATAATGTTGAGATATATTATTTAGAAATTCCATTTTAATCATTCCATGCAATCCATCTCAAAATTTTCTGTGGTCTGATACATGAATCAGCCATCAATATAGGGCTTCCAAAATAATAAGAGTTTCAGCACTATTATCCAAAGCACTTGTTTAACTTCCTTTATCTCATGAATAAAAATGAACACCCATCATAATAATTTAAATTTGAGTAGAAACTTTGATCTCAAAAATAATATTCTGAATAGTTGAACGAATATCTGAATATTGAAATTTATTGTTTAAGTCATCTATCAAAAATTTTTTGAAATATTTTAGCATCCTCTACTTTTATAGTTGCAGCAGAAATCTTTGTGAAAATGCCTTAATTTCTCAAATATAACTAAAATTTGAGAATGAAGCAAAACTCTCTAAACAATTCAGCATATGGCTCTATAAAATATAAAAAGATTCTCTATCGGGTACATGTTGTTTTTAGAACTTTAAGTTATCATCAACTCTCTATGGTACATTATAGCAAACAATCCTTCCAACTATTTGTATAGTGTAGTCATAAGAAGAACAAGAATTAATTTCATTTAAATAATTATTTAACTTGCAAAGCTGATATCATATTTCCTAATTTAGGTTATTCCTCTATGTATTGACTTTAGAAGGAATTCATTCGAGACCTTATCTTCTGAAGTTAAACTTTGTTAGAATTAAAACAAAGTAGTTTAGAGGGTTGGGGTTGTAATTCAACAAACGACTAGTCCTTAAAAAATTAACTATGTTGATGTATCAATTAAGGAGTCTCAATTTTAGGTTTAATACATCCATATCCAACAGATTAATGTTTACATGATGATTCTTTTCTAGATGTTATTTTGATTCGATTCGGTCTTGGAATTATCAAATCTTATTCTGCCTCTGAATCACTTCCACTATCATATTTAAGTGCCTTGCTCATCTCTCTATTGATATTCAGTTCAGGTGAGTCTATCTAATCATTATATACATCAAGAGCATGTAAAATGTTTTAAGCAAGTGAATGATAATCCTCTAAATTAAAAGCCCGACCCACCTAACCATATATACTTGTTTCTATTGTCATTGAATTTGTTATATTCAATCTCTTCCATAATGCAACTCTTGCTGTACCAACTCTGTCTGGACTAACACCATATGAACAATCCCTCTATTAAATATTAAGGTACTTTGAATTAGAACATCTCATTATTTTGAGCCAGTATCTTTCCAAACTATCTTATCTTCATGTATTCTGATACACTCTTCCCATGTAAACAACCATAAAGAAATTAATTGAATTTTTTTGAGTGTCCATGCAAATCTATCATAAAAGCTATATTAGAATATTTTTAAATCGATTTAATAACATAATGCACTTCTGGTTCAGTTTTTTATTTTGGATTATCCCATTTTCTAAATTTACATTTCTATACTACCTATTCAAATCTATCCCATTAAAATTACAACGAGAATTCCCAAGAAATACTCCATCTGGATTTAACATTGGATATATTATGAATCGATATTTTTTCATACAATCATGTCCTTTCCATAAAATACGTAAAATCTCTTAACATATAAAAGAACCGGCTGTTTCACTTGGATGTTAACGAGCTAATATTACTACTATCTATTATCCATTCTATTTTGGAGTCTTTATTTGCCAAATTGGTAATCCTAAAGTTGTTATACACACTGATTTTCGTTTAAATGGACATTGATCAATAAATCTTTAAAGCTTTTTGATTGGATATGGTCGAGTNTAGTGTAGTCATAAGAAGAACAAGAATTAATTTCATTTAAATAATTATTTAACTTGCAAAGCTGATATCATATTTCCTAATTTAGGTTATTCCTCTATGTATTGACTTTAGAAGGAATTCATTCGAGACCTTATCTTCTGAAGTTAAACTTTGTTAGAATTAAAACAAAGTAGTTTAGAGGGTTGGGGTTGTAATTCAACAAACGACTAGTCCTTAAAAAATTAACTATGTTGATGTATCAATTAAGGAGTCTCAATTTTAGGTTTAATACATCCATATCCAACAGATTAATGTTTACATGATGATTCTTTTCTAGATGTTATTTTGATTCGATTCGGTCTTGGAATTATCAAATCTTATTCTGCCTCTGAATCACTTCCACTATCATATTTAAGTGCCTTGCTCATCTCTCTATTGATATTCAGTTCAGGTGAGTCTATCTAATCATTATATACATCAAGAGCATGTAAAATGTTTTAAGCAAGTGAATGATAATCCTCTAAATTAAAAGCCCGACCCACCTAACCATATATACTTGTTTCTATTGTCATTGAATTTGTTATATTCAATCTCTTCCATAATGCAACTCTTGCTGTACCAACTCTGTCTGGACTAACACCATATGAACAATCCCTCTATTAAATATTAAGGTACTTTGAATTAGAACATCTCATTATTTTGAGCCAGTATCTTTCCAAACTATCTTATCTTCATGTATTCTGATACACTCTTCCCATGTAAACAACCATAAAGAAATTAATTGAATTTTTTTGAGTGTCCATGCAAATCTATCATAAAAGCTATATTAGAATATTTTTAAATCGATTTAATAACATAATGCACTTCTGGTTCAGTTTTTTATTTTGGATTATCCCATTTTCTAAATTTACATTTCTATACTACCTATTCAAATCTATCCCATTAAAATTACAACGAGAATTCCCAAGAAATACTCCATCTGGATTTAACATTGGATATATTATGAATCGATATTTTTTCATACAATCATGTCCTTTCCATAAAATACGTAAAATCTCTTAACATATAAAAGAACCGGCTGTTTCACTTGGATGTTAACGAGCTAATATTACTACTATCTATTATCCATTCTATTTTGGAGTCTTTATTTGCCAAATTGGTAATCCTAAAGTTGTTATACACACTGATTTTCGTTTAAATGGACATTGATCAATAAATCTTTAAAGCTTTTTGATTGGATATGGTCGAGTTAAAGCAAAAAATACTATTTTTTCAGTTTGCTTGAACTCATATGTGAATTCTAAAGTATATAAAGAAAAGTTTTGTTGAAGTTATGCTATTCCAACATCCTCATGATGATAAAATGGATGATTTATATTTGTTCTATAATAATATATTTCTTTGGTTTAACCAACAGACCATTTATCATTATCATATACATACACATGATTGCATTCTTTAAAAAGTGTATTTTAACGACGATTATTTAATATACGTATTTTTAGTATTCCTTAATTGTGCATCTTTACTCCAAAGTAAAACCATTAAGTGCATCCTTAAGTATTAGTATCACTTGAAAGTAAAACATTCAAGATTCCTTTTTCTTCTTAACAACATCCATGAATATTACTGTTCTCAAATGAACCGTATACTATAAATTCTTGAGATTCAAAAAAAGGCATTGGTGAATGAATGTATTGTTATTATTTATATTGAGCAAGAACGTTTTTACGTGAATTATGATTGATGATACATGATTTTAATTTCTTTTCAAAAAGCTACATAAAATCAATGTATTAATGTCCTAAGTCCTTATTGTTTTTGAGTAATTTTTGGAGAGATTTCATTTTATAATATATTTTATAATACACTCATAATAATGAATACATATCTGGATAAAGTGGTACACGACGTTTAATCCATTCAGCATTTGTACTCATTAATCCAGTATTAGGTAATTAATCTTATTCTAATTTATGAGATGGTGAAACTACATGAATTTCAATCTAATGAGGATGTTCAATTAAATATTATTTATAGTAGTTCTTTACCTCTTCAATATCAATAGTGTCAAGTAAACTCAATGCTTATTCTCTTCTATCAAATAGATTTTAATGTCTTTAAATTTCTCCCCAAAATCTTCCTACTTCCCTTCCTAATGAAAAATCTTTTTCTAAAAGTGATACTCTAATAGATTATTTATACTCTTCAAATTACTCTCTTGTCAAATCATTAATACCAAAAGTCTTGATAAACTCCCTAAATTAATTATATCAATTTTATATACCTTATTCTAGCTTAAAGATATTTTGGACACTTCAAACTACTCTAAATTAAAAATTAAAAGCCTGTAATACCTCTAACATCACTTGATGCAGAAAATACAACATATCCTAATTACTCTGTAGTTCTTAATTGAGAGAAAAATGGGGTCTTAATGATATTAGAAAGTAAATCTACTATCAATTAGTTTCTAACTGTTCCACTTTCTAATTGAAAATACAAAATAACACTTGAATTTGTTTCGGTTTCTGAATTTAAATATCTTGTATAATTGTAGATAACATTATCAGGAATATTAATTGATCTGACTTACAATACTTCTTCTTTTCTTAATATAAGAGATTATTTAAATAATTCCTCAGATTATTAAACAATAGATATTGCATTATTTTATTGAATATTCCCCATAATTAACCATTCAAATCTACATTTATCCATTAAGTGATTCTAAAAATAAATAAGATCTTCAAATTTAATTAATTTAATTGTTTTTAATAGATCTTCTGGATCAAATGATCCACAATCTCTTAATAATAACATTGATAGATGTCTAGCTTATGAATAAGGAGGAGAACGAGAAAAGTTTTCTAAATCACAAATAAGTTTAACTAATTATGTATCATAATTATCTTTATAATTCTCAACCTTAAAGTCTAAAACCTTATTAAACATATCAGGAAGAAACTTATTAATTGATTCACTAAATCCAGCTAAAGAATATTCAATTCCATTAGTAACTAGACTAACTGATGGAGAAAGTGAGGCAACTTCTGCCTCATAAAATAATTCTCTTAAGTGTATTGTGAGTAAACTTTACCATATAGCTCCAAGTACTTCATTTGATATTGATTTTCCAATTTAATCTAAATATTATCTCATTTTTATAAATGTTTTTGGAACATTAAATATATTGTCTTATTTGAAATACACTATAGATTGTGCAGATTCATAAATTACTGTTGGGTATAATTAATTATTTGGATTAGCTAATAAATCAGTTTAATTTGGTAGATATCTGTTTAAATTTGGTAAATGAAAAAGTTAATTATTAACTTATATATTTTAAAATGTTAAATCTGAAATATCATATTCTGTACCAAAATATTTTTCAAAGTTTCTTAATTATCCTTAAAATTGCTAGCTTTATAAAAATACATTGAGATTATTTCTTTTCAATTAATTAATTGTATTATTGATAAGATTGGGATCAAAATTTTCCATTAAATAAGGAGCTTTTAAAATATCTTAAATAGGGTATTAATGTAATCTTGATGCTAATGCTCCAACAAAATCAAAAGGATTTTATTTTTCAAGATAATCAAATTATAGATTTTTAATAGATTAAACTTCTTTAAATATTTATGCATTAGCTTATAAAATATTCAAATAATTGAAAACTAATTCAATTATATGTTAATATTGTGCTAATCCTTTTTTTGTCAATTTGATACTAACATAAAGTTCAGAGAATTTAAATGCCTCATCTTATGTTCCACATGAAAGTTCATATGCAAGATTTTCTTTAATAAGATAACTTAAAAGTGATCCTTGTCCTTCATGACCTATAAGATGAGCAATATATTTTCCAGGACAATTTCTGAAATGAGGTTGTAAATAATCGATAACCCAAATTAAATCTAAATGATCATCATCATTAATGGGAACTATTCTGATTAATTTATTTTTGATAATTTATGATCCTTCTATTTCAACATTTGGTCTACAATAATTTTTATTAGGAATATCACTAAACATAGTTGTTGCCCAATTTTCTAATTATTCAACTGGTTATTTTCCATAAATAACTAATTTCATTAAATTGCTAGAGTAATAACGAGAATGAAAATCAACAAGTTATTATCTGTTTACTTAGCCAAGAGTATCTAAATTTCCAATCATAAATTAAGAATAAGAAGAATTTGATGGTGCCAACAATTTACTTACTTAAAACTTTCTCCAAAAATCATTTTGTAAATTCATATTAAATTCTGAATGAACAGCCTTCATTTCTCTTTCAATACATGTTTCTTTAAATAGAGGATGTTTAAAGAATTAACAAAATCTATCTAATGCTCCATCCAATTAATCATTAGCGACAGTGAAGAAATAATTGGTATTGGTTGTAGAAGTATAAGCATTTGTCATTCCAGAATGTTTAGAAATGAAATGTTGATATTCAGATTCTTCTGGATATTTAGTTGTGCCCATAAAAAGCATATGTTCACAAAAATGTGCTAAACCTTCAGCATTTCTGGGATCTTAAAATGCACCAACTTAAACATTAAGAGCAGCAGCAGATTTTTCAGCATCCTTATCTTCAATAAGTAGACATTATAATTTGTTTGACAAATTTAAATGTTTATAGATGCGTTTGTCAACCTTAGATAATTTGATCATTATTATTTTAATAATGAACGATTGGCAATCAAATTATTCTCCAAGTTTATCCAGCACTTTTGGTCCATGGTATTCAAATACAACTAAAAGCAAAATAGTAAAAGCTTAACATGCTTAGACCTTAACATTAGAACCTTTAAAATAAATATCTCATAAAAAAATCTAAAGTAGAATATCTGTGTCAAAAAGACGCGTAATACCAGTTTAATTTAAATCATAAACTACCTCAACTATGGAAACAACAACAATAGAATAAAAATAAAGAACTCTACCAGACCCAATTATCATGAATATGACTAAAGAACCACTCTATGTTAGAAGTAATAAGATGGTATAAAATATCTTAAAGAAATTGCAATACTATCGATACAATGAACGTCATTTTATATCATGATAATAGTTTCTATTTCAATTCCCGACCTCTACCTTACTTTTCTTATTCTTCAGTTATAACTTTTAATTCTGTATACTTGCTTCTTTATTTTGGATAATCTCTTAAAGTTCCATGAACATCTTCATCTTCAATCTCAAAATCAAGCATTTCTTCAAATACATCAGTCAATCCAATCAAAGCTATAATATTTGTATGATCTTCTACTATTAAATTTTAAATCTAATATAAAATAGAATACAATTACATTCATAGTATTATATTCTTGTACTTTTTTTCCTTTATCACAAATAAATGCTAATGATTTTCGTTCACGTTCAAATAACATTAACATTTCCAACATTGTTGTATCTTATGGCACTATTAATGGTTCTTACATTTACAATAAGGATGATAATGGTCTTCCATAATCCTATGCAGTTAATTTTAAAATCGATTTTGCTTATATAGTTCCAAGTATTTATTCTTTGTTCGATCCCTAATAAATTGGAATCTTTGAAAATCCTTTTATTCTTATTTTATTTTTTAAATCTGAACTATATCTTTCATCTGCACTAACCATAAAAACTTTCTTTATGTCTTTACAATTCTTCATAATAGTTTGTTTTCTCATTTCCATCATAGAATCTAACAATTACATCTAATCCTTTGTTAATTAAGCATTATTTCCATGTCCACTATCTTATGCATGCAAATTTAATAATCCCCTTACATCTTTTATCTTATATCTTTAATGGAGATGCACACCTAAAACATAATCTAGTAGCAAACTCAATGGATAACATATTATGTATAAGATAGCTTATAATACTTTTACATATGGAATCATTCTCATTCCTATTACTAATTAATCTGGTCCTGTTGTAAATGCAGATGGAATTATCTCTCCAAATAACACTATTATTCCAGCTGATATTAAGATTGCCAACCAATCTGGAGCTAATTAATGCAAAATTATTGGTAATGTTTCACATGCAAAAGCATTTCCTACTAATAAAGTTGACAACAATAAGTGATGTTGAGATATTACTGGTAATAGTATTTCAGCCTTTAATAATATAAACTTCATACCACTTTCTTTTCATATTCTGTCCCACTCTTCTACTTAAGTTCTAAATTTAACATATCTATTGAAAGCAATCCTTGAGTATTTCCTGAACAAAATGCTGCCAAAAGAGATAATCCAAGTGCATATAAAAGGAATAACCAAAATGTTCCTTCAGATGGACTATATCTATGATGATGTGGCTCATGCTCATCTTCCATCTCATCTCCTAATACAATATATGAACTATGCAAGAAGACAATAAGTTTAAATAAATGTAAATATTTCATAATTAATTTATTATATACATTATAATCCTAATGTATTAACATCATTTTTTTATTGAAATTGATAATAAATTTTTATTCTCATTTTATAATAAAAATCTAAACCCTCAAATAAATAGCATTAATTTCATAATCTTCTTATTCAAAAATCTTTCAAAATTTTTTATTCCTAAAGATTGTATCATTAGCGAAGAAATTTATTTGATAAATTGAATAGTTATCTTTAATTATTCGAATTATTTTTTCTTTGTCAATTTTAATGCTAATCTATATTTTTTTAAAAGATTCTCACCATCACCATATAGAAAAAATAATTAATGTAAAATTATTAAACCTCCATTTTTATTTATTTGTTGATACCAGATAATAAAAATTGTCAAATAATTGAAAGTTATTTTATCTAATTGTTTTTTTTTAAATATATCAACCTCTATTATTTAAGCTTTTTATTTGTTTAAATTCTTAAGTTTTACATTCAGAAATCATAAATTCATATTAGTTCTCTCTTATTAAAAGTATAGAATTATCTATAATAATATCCTTTTATTGGCATGGTGATCATAGAAAATCTAAAAAAGAAACCATATAACAAAATAGAAATCTAGTAAAAATGGATTGATATTTTATTAACAAAAAAAAATAATTATTATTATAAGATTAATATTATAATAATATATATTACTTTAATAAATTTTATTGTTAAAATTCTTAAAATCATTTATACAGTAGTAGTTCAAAATAAATATATTAGATCATCACATCAAATAAAATCTAGAATCCTTAGGCAGATTTTATCTATATTTTAATTTAACAGCTTCTTATGAACATTTATTTAAGGCCAATAAAGAGTAAAATGCATTATTCATGTAACTCTTGGATGTTAAAGCCTTTATAGATTTTTATTATTAAGTTGATTTAATTTAGGCAACCAATTATTCTGCTTAATCTTTGTTTTTAGAAGTATTCTAATTATTTAAAACTATATTATTAGTATTTGTATTTGTTAATATTTAAGATATAAAGTTTTTTCTTTTTTTATTTATCATATAAAGTCTATAAGGTAGTTTAATTCCTTCTTCATAAACTTATTCTCTATCTATTAATAATTGATTGTTTTGAGATTTCTTTGGAACAACGATTCCAGGATCTGTAATCAATCTTTAAGTTGATATTAGAGAACTTTCTAAATCACTATGTTATGTTTTAATTCTTTTTCTAGCAATTTGTTTAACAATGTTTAAATTTGTAGTATTGCGTAACGATGAGATTTTTTCTGTAAGTTCATCTGCCAATTTAATGTTCTATTATTTTGTATATTTAAATGATGGTAACATGAAATCACCTAAAATTTCTGTATTTTAGTTTGCAAGACTAGAATCATTTTCGTTATTAATTTTATTTTTTGTAAAAGTAGTTTATTGTCTAAGTAATATTGGTAAATTGGCAGTAGGCTATTTAGATGAATATGATTTATTAAAAGAATGACTTCTAGTATGTTAATGAAGATGGTTTTGATTTGGATTCTTTATTAATTACATTAAAATAAAATTAATATAAGTCATTTAAAACAAGGACATAATAGTGTTGTTTAAGATGTTTAGGATTTTTATGAAATGACCATAAAATTATTGAGATGATTGAAGCATTTTTATGACCAAACTTTAACGTCAAGTTAATGAATTCTATTTGCTAATTCAGGATTAAATTGCAATGCTTCTAATACTGTTTCCAGAAATCTAAGAGAAGACTAATATTCTATCTCTAAATGTAATCCTTCTAAAGTCTTTATTAAGCTAATTATAAGCTTACTTTTATGTCTTTATTCAAAATATCAGCCATTGTATTTGGTAAATACCCATAAACTTATGTAAAATCAGCAGCTTCAAAGTCAATAACGAGTAAAGTATTTTAAATAACAATTAAACAAGATACCATGTCTTCGAACATATTTAGAAATTTCTCTAATAAAGTTAATTTTTCAGGTTTAGGTTTTAAACCTATTAATCTATTTATATAAAATACCTGCCATGTTTTCCATAAATTTCATTTCATTGTATTGACTATAATAATCAAGATATAGCAATTTATTTTTTTCTATTATTTAATAGTAACTTTAATTTGCTTCACTTGGAACTATCGAAAGAGGAGGTTTTGAAATTGTAGATTAATGCATTTTGTGTACAGATCCATTATCATGCTCTAATTGTGGAACAGAATAATAGTTTTAAGTATTTGATGGAAAAATTTTCTTCATTTTAGTTTTCATAAAAATATAATTATAATAATTATTTATTTCATAGTAATTATATATAACATTAAAGAAATTTGAAATGAGGACTAAATAAATCAAAAATAAAAAAATTATCATGAATTCTATAAACCAAATTTGAATCCTATCATCTTTGTTTTAAAAATTTTTTATATAATCATTTCTGTTGAATTTATCAATAATTTAAATTATTATTTATATTAAGAATATCTAAGAATGAAAAGAAGATTTTATTTTTAAAAATATGAGAAACAATCAAGTCCAGATGATCTTCTAAGAAAATTAAATTAGGAATCTACTAGGCCTAAATTTATAGATTACATAATTACAAATACGAAAAATGATAAAAAGATAAAAATGATTGATAGTTATAGATAGAGGAACTGTAAATCATTGGATCCAGTTAGAAATATTAAGATGGATACATAAACTATGTAAGAAGAGTACTTCAAATTTTTAACAAATACAGAAAATGGAACATAATATAAGATTTTAAATACTGATTAATAATAAAAAACCTTACCTAAATAAAGTGTTTAATGTCTATCTAAAATTCTCTCATTTTAACATAAGCTATAGAATCCATTTTGATAACTTGGACCTTGCTTGAATGAGAATCTTTATAGTTATTATATCTTATTTGTTAGTTAAAAAAAAAAATTAAAGATAATAATTCTTAAATATTTTAGAACAAATTTTACCTCTGTTTCATATTCAATAATTTGTTTAGAAGCTATTTCTAATCACTAAGACAACTTCAACAAACTTTTTTTGTTTTAACTTTGCAATATTTTTGGGCTTTGTACTATCTAAATAGTAAGCCAATTAAAATTTGTTCAAAACTATAAAACCATCCCAACAATGATGTTTAAGAATTTCTTCCAATTTTTTATTCTTCTTGCTTTACCAATTATTTGTTCCAAAAATAGCTATAAAAATAAAAATAAAGTACTAAAATAAATTACATTTATAAAGGAAAATATGTTGGACGATAAGCTAGTGGACTTAAAACCAAATTTTCTAATCATATTTTCATCATTATTAAATCAATTTTATTATTTATAATAATAATTTTATGCCGCTTTTATTTACTTTTTATTATATTTAAATTTTAGTTTTATAAGAGAATAATCCTGAGAATAATATATTAAAGAATCTTAAATATAGTTCTAATGGTTTAAATCTGTTTCAATAATATAAATTTATTATACTTAGTGGTTATTTACTTTCAATTTTCAGACTTATAGTTCTTAGTATATTTGAACATTAATGTATATTTTTAAGAATTTACTTTAAAGTTTAATGAGAAAATTTAATTCTAGATAGAAAATTAAGATTTTATATTTTTTTTTATTTATTATAAATAAAAGTGTGAAAACCTCATTTATTCTATTTGAATATGAAATAATTATTCTAATGAACTAAAATTTTTCTCATTTTAATTTAGAAAAGCTAGAAGAAACTTATAAAACGTTTGGTTTGAGATATTCTTGTAATGAGTATGATGTAAGAAAATAGTTTATCTAGGAATATACTTGCATAAGAAATAGTAATGAGATATAGTATTGTGCTCGCAAATATAAAATTGGAAGCATAGATGATGAAAGGTTTAAAGCATTGAAGAGAATCAAGCTTTACAATATTTTGCCTGTATTTGATTAGTACTTAGATTCATAAACAATT